CTTTCAGTCAGGAAATTCTAGTTGTAAACAGTATTTTTGGTCAAAAACAGCCGTATGAGTTTCGGAGGGTATATACAATTAAAATAACAGAAAAATCCCTTTCATGACTGTTACTTCCGCTGTTTTAATTTGCGCGTTTTTAACGTCAATTTTTATCTAGAAGAATCTTACAACATTCAGAGGAAGTGGGCATCACAGAGATTTCGAAGGAATAGCGTCTACAAAGCCAAAACATTTCATCCAAGAAGCATTCAATGATTTAATACCATTTCTTCATTCAGAAAGTTCAGAATATGGTAAATCCCCTTTTAGTAGCTGGTCTTTATGCAACAATTTGTTAAGACGCTATGCAAAAATGGGCAATGTTTGTCTCATATTATGAGAAGATGTCGTGAGTATAAGCGAGAGTTTTCGACTGACCTCAAATAGGAACATTAAAAAGGATTCTAATTTCTTAAATTCAATGAACGATTTGGAACTACGCAGGTAGACTCCATTTTTTGAAATTACTAAAAATATTCTGGAAATTTATACGCCGAAATGCTGGAGAGCCTTATTGTAGTATGTAATATGTTCATCAAAGTACACTACCTACACAGTCATCGTGACAAATACCAATATAATCTTGAGTCACATAGGGAAGAACAAGCGGAGCGGTTTCACCGTGACCTGTTTGGCCTATGGAGGAGGTTTACCCAGGCAGATGGGATCGTCGTATGATAGCTAACTACTACTGGGGATGTCCTGTGATAGTTCTACTACACCTCATTCACGAAAAACGCGAGAAAAATGTGTTTATGTACATAAGAACGTAATAAACTTAATTTTGATGCAAATTTGTGTTTCTCTGTAAAATTCAAAATTTCGAAAACAAAATAAAACTGTTTTCTGTTGATGTTATCAGTAAAAGCTTTATAAATATGCATTGGTTTATAACAAGATAATCTGATTGTACCATGATGTTGAAATTTTCGTAGAAAATATTTACAGATGAGTGCAAGGAAACAAGTTTTATTATTTTAAAAAAGGTTTTAAGGATAATTTTATATGATGGTATTTGATTGAATTTCTATTGCACAAGTTAATTTGTTTTACACTTCTCGGCATATACAGCTACCGAAATTTTGTAGTAAAATTTGTATTATTGCCTCCTATGTGTGAAGTTCGGTTTATTTAAGTTTATCATTCACTTTATCGTTTTGTTTTGCATAAGTAAAAATCATGTTGAGAAGTAGATCTTAAAATCCTCAGTGGTATTAGTAGGTAGTTACTCTAAAAGAAGGTATTTTGTTCCTTGTATAACGATTTTGTTCGCACGGTGAGAACGAATTTTCAAATACCGCCAGTCGAAATGAGCCAACTTAATGAGCAAAGAATGTTTCTACTTCTGGATATTAAATTTTCCCAAAGTGAAAAGATTTTATTTGTTTTCCAAAGCTATACGCTTTTTACTTTAAAGGAAAGATTCTTTGCGCCAAGGGCAGGTTTGCCACGGAAGCCGGGTGACTCTCCAATATTTATGGTGGGCACTTGGATCAAAAATATTCAAGTTTTTTTTCCACTGAAAATAGCATTTTTCAATTCTTTCTACAAAATTTGTAATTGTTGTAAAATGCTAAAAACGAAGTTGTGCCATAAACTGGGCTGTGGTTTAGCGATGTATTTCTTCACCCTAAGTACCAAAACTGTGTTTATTATTTATTGTGAACTTTTACTTGTGGCAGAGAGATTCTAAAACATTTCAATTTTTACGGTAAATCATGCTGTTCCTAGTAGCTAACCGTTAGATATGTCATTTGCACTACCCTTTTGGGGTTTGTTTATTATTTATTATTTTCATAGCCGTCGGGATTCTTAAAGGAACTTCATATATTCTGCTGTCCGATTACTTCGGGAGTTAACTAACTAATTTTCATGCCACAAAAATTCATTTCAGTTATTCTTACGGGCTCTTCTTCAGATAGATCAATGCCACTGGATATTATGGGATATAATTACGGTGACCGTATTAACCAACATCAAGTAAGGGACATTTTTTTCGAAATGATTTGGGAATATGTGCATACAACTTTTATGATAAAAGTACCTTACACATATCGTAATTTAACCCAAATTGTCCCAGATTAAGTTTTTTTAGATTTTTTGGTTTCATCTATATACAGGGTAAAAGTAGCTTTAAAGTAAAGGAAAAGAGATGACTAAAACTTTGGGAGTAGTATAGTTCTTCCGATATCGGCCGTTGCCATATGGCAACATGGGTCGTATTCCAGATGGATTGTTAGAGGACAGTATTTGGTTAAAATATGAAATAATAGAAACATTGTTTATAAGTTTTAATACATTTATTGATGATATATGCATATTCTACGAGCAAAGCGGATGAAGAAGTTGATTTTTAGTATGAAAAGTAGCAAAACATTTCAAACATAAATCCACATCACATTTTTCACAGGCTACTCCTCCTATAGTTTTACATGCTGCACCAACAGAAGGACAGTAACGGCCTTTATGCATGTAAAATAATGCTGGGAGTCACTTGGGATTTGTCACCTGCTCTGATGCATTGGTGCTACACAGCAATAGTCAGCCCAATACTGCTCTATGGCGCTTTGGTGTGCTGGAATGCCGCAAAAAAGTCCTTATGTCTCGGGCCAATGGAGACGGTTCAACGCCTAGCGGCACTGTGCATGGCGGGAGCGCTGAGGTCCACTTCGACGGCTGTTCTTTAAAAACCCCTTAGTTTACCGCCCATTGGCCGATTCGCGGAAAACCGTGCTGTGAAATCCGCACGTAGATTGACGGTCATAGGAAAATTCAATTTCAGAACCTTTGGGCACCGCTTAATTGGGGTGGGAAGCACCAGCAGCATAGACTTCATGGCACCTAGCTTTAAGTTGAAACGAACTTTTTGCACAAAGATTGAGGAGGGATGGCACAAGGGAATGAAGCCATAGATCCCTAAACATTTTCATGAACGGCTCTAAAATGGTTAGGGGAGTGGGTGCCGGGATTTACTGCCGGGAACTGAACGTCAGGTGGACAGCAAGGCTACCTGACCATTGCAGCAAATTTCAAGCAGAGGCTTTCGCAATGAGGATAACTGCAGAGCTAGCCTTCACCGAAACGATAACCAATTCAAAATTACACTTATTTCAGGCGGAAATTAAGGCAGTTTCCTCATATAGTATTTCATGAATAAACGTCCTTCGCAGCCGAGAAGCCATCGACAAGCTAGATGCTGACAAAAGCCTACATATCTATTGGGTGCCCTGTCACAAGGGAATCTAGGGTAATGAAATAGCAGATGAGAATGCAAAAAAACGCCACTAGTCTTCCCTAAAACAGACAAACTACATTTGTGTACCACTTCAACACTGGGACAATGAAATATACGATAATCTGATTAGGCAGTTCAGAGCTAGATGGAATGATTTAACCGCCTGCAAAACTGCAAAAATACATACAACGTATTTTGCGTTGCCATATAGCAACACGGAGCCAATTTGGGCTAACGAGCATATCAACGCTTTCTATAAATTCATGCTTACTTCTTCATATATTACATTTGGATGTTTTTTTGCCACTTTTAATTTTGTTTAAAGAACACACTTGCATTACACTCGATAGACAGCAAGGATCTGACGGAAGCGTAAGCGTTATGAAAGATACACCTTTTAGGAATTAGTTAACGTTCATATAAGCATTTTTAAGTAAGCGGTTTTTGTTTTACACCCTCTTAAACATGATGTATGGCAATACGGGGTCAATTTGGCCCGTTAATAATATTATTTATATTTATTTACCAGTAAATAATATTATTTAATTAAATAAGATCCCCTGCTGTAGCGAAAAATTAAGCCAAATCCTTTTCATGGACTTCGCCATCCATTGCTACCAAAATGCGTTTACCATAATTCATACTGCATGACGAAGCCAAAACACAGTGGTTCAAAATTGGAATTTAATGTTCATTATGCAATTTTTACTAAAAATCAAAAAAAAATATTTATTTTGGTAAACATTTTCTTATAAGTACATAAGTATAATGTGCACCAGGGCTTTTATTGTTCTCTTTCAGTGGAACTGGAAACTCAGCGTGCAACACGATCCTGGGCACAACTTTCCCTGTGCTTTATAGATTGTACAAAGAATACGGATTAAATAGAAACCCTTAGCTGGGGTGCAAACCAAACTGGCGAAGGTTTTCATTATATTTTATAAGGGACATTTTTATTTTTCATATTCTGCTTTTAAAAATTCACCTCTGAAAAATGCAGAGCCGATTTAAAAACCAGTTTAAGAAATAAAAGACAAAAGGCGTCCTTTATTTTGAAAAAAATTATAAAGGACAGACGGCTAAAATAAAGACCGTCCTTTAAAATAAAGGACGGATGGTCACCGTAGCCATAATATAACTAGGAGAAATAATAAAACGGTTTTTATTACGAAAGTAAATAGCTTCTATATATTTAAGTTTTTACCACACCTTCATTGGTGTAGATTTCTATTGAAAATTTTTGACACTGGAGCAGACGGAAGCTGAATAGTTCATTTTGCACATATAATTATTTATTATAAAATATTAAATATTGTTTGTAATAACGGTAGTTAAAATTATAAAGGAACAACTTAAGATATGAAAATACTTATAAACTAAAAGCTATTATAATCGCATACAGCAAAAAGTTTTACCCTTATTTCATAGAGCGAAAATGAAGAAAAACATATTGCACATTAATTCTTTTACTGGGGTATATCCCATATGCACCAATACCAAATTATTTTCTTATGTTTTTCGACTTTACCGTATTTTGATGAATTATCCGCCATACAATGGCATGTCTGAAAACTTCAAATTGCTTGCAAACAAACCACTAGCAAAGTTAAATAACAAGCTTACGAAAAGTAAACAAACTCGCTGGAATTTTAAGCTATATGTTTTTAGGTACGTACATACATACATATGGACAACTGGTAAAGAAAACAAGATTTACACTTACTTATTGGCTTGCTTGCTAATAATCCTAGGCATAAAACGATTATCCAAAAGTTATACATTTTCAGTTCGTAGTCTCGGTAGCGGGTCGGTGGAATCGTTTTGCTGTATTGTTGATTGGCGCTGAAGCTGGTGCAATGCAAAAAGTATCTAAGTTATTGCCTTTGTTCGAAGATTTCACAAGCAAATATATTACAAAAATAATTTTGTTGATACAACTTTGTTGATATTTGGATTGGTTTGGTTTGGGATGATTATCTTCACAATTTTTTAAGGGTGGGACCGCTTTCGCGAAAAACCATTTGGGAATAGCTATTTTACGCGAGTTTTTTTTTCGTATAAGAACGTTAGTGACTAAATTATTTTGCTTAACAATTTTTTTTATATTTTTGTTGCTGTGCCTTTGTTTTGATTGTGCCAGTTAAGAACAGATCAAAACGGGCTGGAATTTACCAAAAGTGTGGAACTACAGGGGTTGTGCTGCTAAATCGATGGGAATTCAAACACGCTTCTGTTACTTTTACATTTTCAATACACTCATATTTAATAATGTGCGTGATATAACCATCAACTGCTTGAGGTCATTATTTCCTCTACTGTACGTACGTATGTTTGTATGTATATTGATCTAATTTTTCTTCGCATACAAATATTCATGTATACGTGTATACATATGTATGTATGTACGAGCTGAAGCAGAGTAAAACTGCTTATTAAAATAGCAAATCGCGTGATACAAAATATTTCGAAATCTTACTTCTTTTACAATAACTCGTATCCAAATTCACCACTCGTTCACTTCTTTTCATTTATAAAAGTAAAACTGGAAACTATTTCACTTTGCCTGCCCCTTTGTAAGCAAAACACTGCATTTTTAAAGGTACAACTGCTATTGGTACTCCCAGGAGTGGTGAACCAATTTATTCACGATTTAACACTTCCGTTGAGCAAACACTGACACACCAAGGGAACGTGTAAGTTTCACTTGATTTTGAGGGCGCCACTCAAGCGTTTTTCTTAATCTCTCCTCTCAACCCCATTCACCAAAACAGCTGCGTAAAAAGACAAAAAACCTCCGTCTACCCACGGTAAACGCAGAAAGTAATTAAAATTTGGCAACAACAAACACTCAACCACGTCAATGCCGAAGGTGTGGAAAGCGCGACGTAAAATTTCCTTTTCCGGATAAGTCGGTTATTTCCGTCAAATACAAATGACGGGCACGACAATCAGCAAAGCGAAACTTTAAAGTGGCAGGTAAAGATGTCTCACTACCCACTGTGGTGGCACGCACCCACCATCAGTGACACAATAGATGCTTTGAGAGTGAATTTCCGCGCTTTCACCTGAAGCGCGTTTTAAACCAGCGCTAATCGCGGTTTTGCCGTCGCTAATCTAATGCTTCACTTCACTTCTGCACTCACACTTTCTGATCACATTGTGCATGCGTATGTACATATTTAGGTTTTGTTGTTGCTGTTGCAAATGTCACTCACCACTTTCACTGCTCTTTTCTCAATACTAGGTGTGTGTAGATTACTAGCACGCGCGCACTTGTTGTGCCCATCTGAAGCGTTTACCCTAGACTGACGGTCGCAAGAACCGTTTCAGAAAATTTTTCAGCAATGTACACGCAACACTTTCTGTTACGCCAACACCAGCGGCAGCAACACCAACACATAAATCTATAGCAATATTCCACCCACTTCTAATTGTGCGGGAGTTGCTCAGCGTCGCTCTCACCGCGGCTCGGAATGCTCAAAAGAGCGTAGTTACAAGCAGGATAAAGAGAGCCCAAGAAAGTCCTTTCAGTTTTTGGGACAAACATTCGTTGTTGACCAGCATTAAGCTTTTATTTCTTGTGCGGGAAAGTTTACTATCAGAAACATTTGTTGCTTCCTTATCAATGCAGTTTCACTTCAAAGGAGCGTTTGAGGTGATATTTTGCTGCCTATGCCTTTAGGTTTTTCGCTGCTTTCAAAATATGCTGGTTGTGGAAACTTACTTTGAACGAGTCTTGTATTTTTTTCGTGTTTGTGAAGTTTCACAAGGTCAAGCTTTCGGATAAAAATCGAAATAAATGCGTTCTTACACACAACATGTATTTTTTAATGAAGTGAGGAGTTCAATGTAAAACATATGTATAAATGTACATTAAAGTGGTCCAAAAATGTATGTAAAAAAATAAGGTCGGATTTTTAAAGCCGCCACCCCCTAGGATTGTTATATACCGAAAAAAATATACCCATATTTTTTTATTTTGAAATCAAAAATAATTTAGTAGTGCTCAAAGCGCTAAAAGTTTTCCATGTATTTTATATGGAGAAAAAACATCTTTTCGTAGAAATAGTGTAGAATTTTTGAAAATCTATATTTTTCGATCGGAAAGCTTTACTTATCTTCAGGAGATTCCCAGTAATAATACTCAATTGTTTCTTTAACAATTTTTTCATGGTAACTATATTTTATAGGTCCACCAAAGCCCTTAGAAAATGCAATGGGGGGACCAATAAAAAATCTTTAATCATAAAAAATGGTTAAATAAATAATTGGATATTAGTATCCTGAAGAGAACAATAGTTTTCCAGTTTTATACCATTTCTACGACAAATTGGTTTTTCTCCATATAAAATACTTGGAAAAATTTGAACGCTTTCAGCGCTCCCTAAATATTTTTTGATTTCAAAATAAAAAAATAGGGGTATATTTTTTTTCGATATGGATCAATCCTAGGGTGTGCCGGCATTAAAACTCCGTCTTTATTTTTTTGGACCACTCTAATGTACATATGTATGTACATACGTAAGCACCCAAGAAAAAAAATTTATTTTATGTTAACTACACAGGTTTACAAAAAAAAAGTGTATGCATATTAAATCAAACCTATATATCGCTATGTTATTCGACATTCTGAATGCGAATCCGGGGTCCGTTAGCCTCCATCACGTCTGGTTCGTGGTCATTTGAAGGTAAAGTAGGGAAAAATTCATTGAAAAAACCTGAAAATTCAATAAAATTCATCGGAACTTGACCTTGGGATGACTTTAGCATGACCTCCAGATGACCTTGAGGAATCAAGGGACCATACTCGGTTTCAGTGACAACAAAAACAATTTTTTTTTAATTTTGTTGAATAAATTTTATGTCCTATTTGACATTCAAATGACCTCGAAGCTGACATTATGGAGGTTAACGAACCTCGGATTCAGATTTAGCGAATGTAAAACCTTATGAATAACATAGGGATATATAGGTTTAGTTTAATATGCATAAACTTTTTTTTTGTAAACCTGTGCTATTATCAGGGCTGGAAAATCTATTAAAAGCTTGAAAAAGCGTATTTGTGATATATCTGGCAGTTCTGCTGGTTTGTGCATATATTTGATGTGCATATTTTTTCAAAAACGTTGTACGATGTATCTTCGGGGAAAAGGAAAGGACTGATGTGTAGAGTTGTCACACTATCGACAGTGACGTCATTCGCTATTTTCGATAGTCTCAGTTCTCACTATAGAAATTAAAGGGGTAAAGATATCGATGGTAATAGAAATACCAAATTATCGATGTTATCGATAGCGCTATCCATAGCTATCCAGCGTTTATGTTCATTGGATATACATGACATAGCCAGCAGAGTCGCTGGATCGTTAAAACGCCTGCGTTATTCGCCATGACCAACATAAATCTTGCGTAGAATCCTTGTCTCCAAAACTCCAAGAGCCGCTTCATCAGATGTTTTCATTATCCATGCCTCCGCGCCATACACTATCACAGGCATGATGAGTAACTTATAGAGTGCGATTTTTATACCTCGAGAGATTACTTTACTCCTGCATTGCCCACTCAGTCCAAAGTAGCACTTGACTGACATTATTATTGGTGTTAATTTAATGCTGGTTCCCCAATAAACGAAGTCGTCTACTTTTTCAAACTTGTGACTTCCAACTATAATGTGGGTGCAAAGGCGCCTAGGCTTTGCAATCCACAAATATATAATGTATGTCGATCCTATTCTCGCGAGTTTTTCCAAGATTTGTCGTATTGTGAACAACTGGTCTATGATGGATATGCCAGGTCCAAAGTCACCTTTCATACACTACACTCGATAATACCTTGTAACCTATGCTTAGAAGGCTGATCCCGCAGTAGTTGGCGCGTATGGCGGGATTGCCTTTCTTGTCGTTTGAGCAGAGCACACTTAAATTCCAGCCGTCGGGCATCCGCTCCTCGCCGCCGTACTTAAATAGCTCGGCTGGCAGGCTGTCAGTTCCAGCAGCTCTGTTGTTTTTCAGCCGCGTAATCGCTATTCGCATAATCGCTCCATCGTCATCGACTGGGGTTCGGGTCGGTCTTCTCCATTACTTTCAGTGCTGTTGCAATTCAATAGGGTAATTTAAGTACGTTCTGGACATAGATAACCAGATCTTCGTGGTTATTCTTATAGGAGTTCGCCCTGGTCTTGAAACCTTCCGTAAGTTGCCTAACTATTTAATAAAATTTTTTGGCGTTTTTCCTGTCGGCCATCATATCAAGCTCTTCGCACTCACATATTTCAGATTCTCTCCTGTTATTTCATCAAATACGTCGCGCTTCCCTCTTCAGTTCCCTGTAGCGATCCCACATGGCTCGCATTGCTTGCGCCTGATCTCAGCGTGGCCTTGTACGCAGATAAGCGAGATATTGAAGAATCTCTCTTTAATGCGGATTTTGAAAAGACGTTCTTCCACCGGCTATATAGCATTTGGTACTATTCTTACCCTTGAAAATGCACCTTCGAGTGGTGCTTTACGATTTTTCCTCCAGAAGTCAGACCATTAAAAATTACGTAATGAGTTAAGGTACTGGTCCAAAACGTATAAAGGCTGGCCAAATGGCAGCTTTTCCTCACTTGCTTTAAGCGCCTCAAAGTTTCAAATAGGCAAACGTTTTATTTGAAAGCATTTTGTAGGCTTTTGGCAAAGAAGTATGTTCCCGTTCAAAAAACATAAATTCAAACAAAAATTTGCTTACTTAATTAAAAAAAATGTCATACAAGCAGTTCGAAACGAAATAAAAATTGTTCGTTGTTTCCATATTTACATTTAACATCAATATCGTTATCTTATAGTAAACTGTTGCAAAGCCCACTTTTGCAAATTTTACACGACAGGAAAAAACTTCTTATAGCTCTTTTCTTCAAGTAAATCGCTAGTTTAAGTTATAGTTTTTTTAATAAATGTAGATATACATATATATGTATCATTATTACCATTTCTTTTAAATGCAAACATCATTTCGCATTAATTTAAAAATAAATATGAAAGTTTTTGATACATTTTCTACAGTTTTCTAAGAAAATAATTATTTGTGTTAAGGGAACAGACATTGACTTTTCAACCAGACATCTGGTTACTTTGACAGCGTTACAAGCCGCCATTCGGCCAAACAAGTTTTCGAAGTAAATCAAAGCAAATTAAAGTCAGCAAGGCGTGCAAAGCAAGCCTGCATTGTGCCAGCCCTTTTGGAAAGCATGTACTTGGTTTGGCGGTGTTATATTCGAGGACGCGGCAGTTAAAATGGCCATAATTCTTAAAGGCAAAATCGTATAGCAGCATTCAAGGGTGCATTTTGAAGGATAACCATAGTACTAGAAAAATAGGCGAAATAATTCCAATAGAGTGTTTTTATTCATTCGGGAAATTTTCTTCTTATTTTTCTTATTCTTAGCTTCTTATTTCGCTCCTTCTGGGCTCGTTCCTTTTTGAAATAATTTAAACCTCGCGTTTTTATTGTTCTACGTACATAATTCTTATTTTCTGAGCCCATTTAAGCAAAAAAGAATATGCATTTCAATTATAGGAACAATAACATGTTGAATAGCTTACAATGGTGCTTGCAAAACGAACCCTCTCTCTAACTGAATTAAAAGAAAAAGTTTTCCTGAAAATTCATTCAGTATAAAAGACTTTTACATTTCAAATAGTTTTCTACCTAAAACCTATGGTACAATAATTACAGGTATTGTCTTCCTAGAGATTTTTGCTTCACTTCGAAATTCGTGCTCCCTTATTTTGATCTTGACGCAGTTCAATGCTGATTCTTTTACTTTTATTTGGCTTTGCTTTTTGTTTTCAAAACAAAAGAAAAAACGTTTGATACGAAGTGAGCCATACAAATTTTGAATTTATTTACAAGCAATAATAATAAATAATAAATAAATAAATGTTATTTTCCGGCTCTTGTAAATTAAATAATTTCTCTGCAAGAAGGTTTGTTTAAAAAAATACGTGTACATATGTACTTTCCCTTTTCCCTTGCGGTAAATCTTTTAGTGTGGGCAACAATGATATTTTTTAAATAAGTAGTTTCATTTAATGGCATTCGTTGTTGTTGTTAACCATTTGACTTTTAATAAAATTATGACATTTCAACAAATTCATGCTACCTGATCACTAGAAGAAATATTTTTTTTTTAAGCAGAAGATTTTATTTTATGGACTGGAAAATTGCGCCGGCTACATAATTTCGAAAATGGGGTTGACGACTAGGTTTCAGAACGCATGAAGAAAGTGTATACTTACACATTGTCGTTG